TCTATTTTTTGGTGTGGTAGAGAAGATGGTCCTTTTCAGGGTGACATTTGTCAATGCTAGCTCAAGAAATTATGGTAATTCCACCTGGCTTCCAAAGTCTTGCAATTTACACTTCTCTTATTTAGTCAACTTTATTTTCCATTACTTCCTTTCTGCACTCTCCTCTTCTCAAGCTGGTATTTCCCATAGTGCTATCCATTACATTAATTTGCATTTCCATGTTTTCTATTCTCCAGTGATCAAGTTGCATATATCCTTCCATGCGCAACTTAAGCCCATCCTCGTACACTCCTCATCTATTCTAGTCCTCAGTGACAGTGACATTGGCCACCTTCCAGCCTTGTGCAAAAGCTTTCAGTGATAACCTTTTACCTGCTAAACAAAGCCCAGGCTTCTTTGTCTGGTATTCAAGTCAGTCATTCAATCATAAATACGGACTGAGAGTCAATTACATGCTAGACAATCTCTAGGTGCTAGAGAAGCAGTCAGATGGGTCCCTGCCCTTAGGGTGAACAAACTGGACACTAAATAATTACAAATAATCAATTAGATAATTATTAGCATGAATCAATGATTGCAAGGTGGTCTCAACCTATTTTCAGAGTCCCTTCTCTTCTCTTCTCCCCAGACAGGCCTGCTCGTGCTTTCCCACCTCTGCGCCTGTTTCGTACTCTCCCTCTGCTCCTGAACATGGGATGTCCCCGACTTTAGCCAGTCTCCTTCCAGGACCTGCACTGGTTTCGTCTTTTCTACAAAACCCTGCTGCACAGCTTTAGCCTGAAAGATCTCTTGTTTGAGGTACTTATTCATTCAACAAATATTTACGGAATGGCTTCTTGAAATATTTGATGAATGACTTTTTATGATATCCTAAACATAGGCTATGGTATTATGGTATTAAAGATTGAAATTCTATGGGGGAGTTAGACTTTTCCTACTGGTAGAGATCAAGGACTTTTTTTCCTCTTCTCCTCTGGATGGGGGAGGAATAGAGATCCATAAAACTGCTAAATAAAATTGCCTAATTTCTTATAATTGTACTACTTGAAAGAGCTCTACTGCTGACAATTTTCTCTGTATCTTTCTGGGTTTTTTTTTTCTGTTTCTATTTCTGCATGTATGTCTACCCATTTCTAAAATTTCTTTTCCCTCCAAATTAAAATTTTACCAAGCAAACCTTTTTTCTTAGTCTTTTAAAAAACACAGAGTATCTCTACTCTTACTGTCCTGCTCTCTTCTGCTTGGGATGGAATAGTTTGTTCTAGGGGGAACAAAACCTAGAGAATTTACTCAAAGACTCATCCATATCTTTTCCAGTTCACTATCCTATGCACAATAAGAATCTGAACATTGTCTTAGAGCATTTACGCAGACGTCCTTTCTCAAGATCTGATCTTCGGAACAGCAGTCTTACCTCTCTTTATCAAGGCCGTACATGTGAGGAATGCCTAGGTATACAGTGCAGCCATACTCATATGTAAACCACAGAATACCTAGCTTACAGGAACATATTCTGCTCCCCTAAGGATGAGCAGATTGTACTACAATGTTAAATACTTGCCCAAGGTCATGCAGCTGGTGGGGGCAGAGCAGAAGATGCCAGCCCCAGTTATCTTTCCAAATTGCCCCACTGTCTCTAGTTTGTCTAACAACCCCCAAACTAAAGTGAAACAAAGTACTCTTGCTAAATGAATCATATCTATTTCTACCACTGAAGGGGGAAAAGTAACAGTTTTGTAGAGATTGGGCTAGATTTTTCAGTATTGACTTGTTTTGAAATGTCAGAGAACTTTCTCATTGGAAGTCTACATTGCTATGGTAGGGGTAAATCAGAAAAGAAATATTAGGGGCCACCTATCTCACTCTTTCTTCATGTTTGAGAAATGGAGGATGTAGAAAAGTTGGGCCTTGATCATGAACTGCAGCAGCATTGGCTTATATGTATAGTCTACTTTGGCTGTTCATCTGATTTCTACAGATGCCACCATGATCCTTAGTGCAATTCCCCCAAGCACCCTCAGACCAAGCCCACCTCACCACTATCTTTCCCAGCCTTAGTGTGAAGCCCCAGCAGGCTGGTCTCCCGCATTTCTGAATTCTAAAAATTGACAATATTGGAATTTCTACAGGAACCTGGGAATGGGCGAGCTGAGTGAAGGCTTCACAAGGGCAAGAACTGTTGTCTCAAGTGTTCTTCTAGAGAACATCTAAAAAGGGAATGAAGGGTTTCGGAGTTGGGGTGGGGGTGGGGTGCAATTCAAACGAGTGGAGCAGAAGCCGACCCACCTGGTTGGAACTACGGCAGTGGCACCGAGAGGAGAATCGAATTGTAAGAAAAAGCTGCGGAAGAAAAAGCCCCGGGGGTGCAGCCCAGCTCACTTCTCCTGAACTCACTCTCAAAAGCTCACTTTCGGATCAAGAACATAGATGCTGCCAGACGGAGCCCCTCCCCATCCAGAGCAAACTACAGCAGCACCCTACTGGAACCTTTTTGGGCTGAATGAAGGCTCCGCTTTACCTTTCAGGACCCACCCAGACCTCGACAAACACCCAATGAAGCCGCAGCATCCTCCTGCCGGGAGGGGTTGAACTCTCGCAGGAAATGGACAGGTATCGCCGACCAATGGTTGGAGCTGCCGCAGACCAATGGGAGCGAGAAATGGGTAGACCTGGGCTTTGAGAATGAGAAAGTCCGCACAAAGGGGCGGAGCTGGGGGGGATTGCGGAACGGGGGCAAGGGGCGGGTGTCGAAGGCGAAGGGGACGAGAGGCGAGGGCCGGGTGGCTGGCCGGGCTGCCCCAACCACGGAGGCAGGAATCTGAGGCCGGGTCCGCGGCCGCCAATGGGGAGACGGGCTGGCGTGGGGGCGGGCCCGGCACCGGGCGGCCCCGCCTCCTCGGGTCCGCAGGGCTGGGGCGGAGCCAGGCCCACGTCAGGTGGTCCCGGGCGTGCCGACGGTGCTAGGGGCGGGGCGCGGCGCCGAGAGGGGAGCGGCGGCCGGCGGGCGGCAGCGGGCACCGGCCGCGCGAGCAGGTACCCGCAGCGGAGGTGGCCAAGCCGCCCGGGGGGCGAGCAGAAGCCGGAGGCTCTGGCTTGCCGCGCCCCCATGCTGCGGTGAGCCCTTGCATTCGGCGCACTCGTCGCCGCGCCGGCCCCAGCGAGCCGGCTTTCCCCGCCCTCCTGCCTGGGCCCTACCTGCGGCCGCCGTCGGGAGAGGGGGTCCCTCCAGCTTTGCGGAGCCGCATGAACAATAGGCGGCGGCGGCTCCTGCGGGCGGCAGCAGCCCCGCACCCTATGGATCGGCCGCTCCATGGAGCCCTCCAGAGCGCTTCTCGGCTGCCTGGCGAGCGCTGCCGCTGTCGCCCCGCCGGGGGAGGATGGAGCGGGGGCCGGGGCCGAGGAGGAGGAGGAAGAGGAGGAGGAGGCGGCGGCCGCCACTGGGGAGCTGGGCTCCGACGCGCCGCTGCCTTACTGGACGGCCGTGTTCGAGTACGAGGCGGCGGGAGAGGACGAGCTGACCCTGCGGCTGGGCGACGTTGTGGAGGTGCTATCCAAGGACTCGCAGGTGTCCGGCGACGAGGGCTGGTGGACCGGGCAGCTGAACCAGCGGGTGGGCATCTTCCCCAGCAACTACGTGACCCCGCGCAGCGCCTTCTCCAGTCGTTGCCAGCCCGGCGGCGAAGACCCCAGTTGCTACCCGCCCATTCAGTGTAAGGCGAAGGCGGCGCCCCGGAGTCCGGCGAGGAGGGAGGCATGATGGAGACCTGGGGGTGTTCGTGGAGGGAGGGGATCCTTCCTGGAGGGCCAGCTTGCGGGTGGGGAATGGTTGACCTGTGGGCGCGCCAGCTCGGTCTGCAGGGGCTTTGGTGGGTGCGTTGCCTTAGGTAGAGTCGCCGCAGGCCTTCCCTGGAACCTCAGGCTTCTTTCTTAACCTTCATCTGACCACCTCAGCAGCAGCTTCTGGCTTCCACATCCTGAAGCCCCAGCATGAAAATCTCCCTCATTTCCCACTGTCCCACCCGCCCGTACATCTGAACGGATTTCACTCAAGCTGGTGGTTTCTGTCGTAACCTTAGTCCCCAAATTAGGGACCCTTCCGACCTGTTCTATCGTCTGTCCCCGCCCCTTAAAGGCATTTGCTTTGAAGGAGATAGGGGTGTCTCCCGCTGGGCTGGGCTGGCTCACTAGTCCCTGAAGCCTGCGTGAACTCAAGGCTGAAGTGTCTGAAATGTGTTGATTTCTTGGATCCTAATCCTGGGTCTCAGAAGTTGTACCTTTAGTAGTTTCACTGAATAATGTGCTAAGAAGTGTGTGTGTGTGTGTGTGTGTGTGGTGTGTTTAGAAGCAAGTGATGGGTAGAGAAATGATTGGGTGGGGGAAAGTATGTCGTTCCGCCATGAGAGATCAGAAGCACAAGGTACAGTGTCTACATCCCAGACTCTTGGCGCCCTGGCTGTTAAGGCAATACATTTTCTCCTTTTTTCTCACCCTGCATCCTTGCTTAAATTTGGTATTTGCCAAATCTCAGGAGGACCATGCCCAGGGGTCCTTCCAAGGACCTTTCTTTCAGTGTCCTGGTTTTCACCAGTTTCCCAGGAGCCCCTTGCTTCACATCCTGTAATGAAATTTCCTTTTTTTTTTTTTAAAGGAGTTAAATTGCCACTAGAATCCCTTATGCAATTATGCTAGGTGCTTTTAGAAGAAAAATGTAAATATCTCCTTGTGCAGCTTATTTGAGAGTTTCCATAATTTCTTCCCTACTAAAAAGGTATTGTTAATACATATTTATTGTTATTTATTCCATATTTTGTGTGCTTTGCATTTTAGTTGGTTAAAAACATTATTACCAACAGCGGACTTTAGACATTTAGTTTTAAAATTTCATTTGTATCAGTTATCTTTCTGGACGTGTAACTTATTTTCACCTGAATAATTGTGTTACTTTATCTTTAGATTTTTTAAATATCACTGAATTTTAAAATCAGTCTGTTTCCTTGTTTTTCTACTTCTTTTTAGTAGTGTTTTGACTGTCAAATTGATATTCAACTCTTTAATTCCCTTTGTTTCTCCCTCTTATTCAATTTAAAACTTCCTCCTTCTACATTTTTATCTTTATAATGTCTGGAGGCATCAAATTACTCTAAATTATTCCTAGGTGTTAAATATTTTGGGCTCTAGTACTGGGAAGATAAGGGCTGTCTATCCTAGCATAGTGTGTGAAATAGTGTTGAAGATGAACTTGGTTACATATTGGAAGAAATATTGGGAGACTGGCCTGGCATGTTAAAAACAGTGTGGCTTTAAACAAAAGTCATATTTTGATTTTTTTTGCAGTGATACATTGTGATTTATTTTTCAGGGACAGCTAATGTTGGAGTAGAAGAGGTACGTAAGGCTTATGAGCAGGAACTCAGTTTCTTTAATGTCTCTGCTCTGGGTCATCAGAGTAGTCAGAAGTGAATATGACTTAGGCTGGAAGATCCCATCTGCAGAAAGCCAGGCATTATCACAGTGTGCTACTACATGGGAGCTCCTTTTTCTTAGGACTTCGTCTTTATTGGAACAAAAGTTACCTTGGATAGAGTAGATCCTTTATCTTAGAACTCAGATGATGGGAAAGTAGGAAGTACACAGTGCTTACTGATAGAACTGACTTGAAGAACATGGCATTTGAAGATCCTGGCAACTTATTTTATTTAGCCACACCAGGAATGCTGATCTTGACTGAAATTAATTCTTGATAATTCAGGAAATTTTATCCCAATCAAAAACCAATTAGAATATCTCATGAAAGATAGATACTGTATTAAAAACCTGGGATAAAGAAAAAAGATGAGATGTTTATAAGTCACGCGTAAAGGAGGTTGTTGATATAAATATGTAATTTCAGTGCAGTGCCTCAGTAAAAATGAAAGTCGTAAGTAACTGACAGGTGTGCCTCTGATCTGTATGCTGTATCATCAGTTCAGTTAGTGTCACTCAGAAAATAAAGGTGATTGACAACCTTGTTTCTACAGACTTGGAATGAAATTGTGCTACTGACAACTTTTCCCCAGTTGCCCTTTTGAACTTCCCCTCTGGGGCATGAATTATGATATTAGATGGTGAGTAGAAGACACTAAGTCAAGTAACAATGTTCAGGTTTAGTTTTAAATATTGGTTTTCAAAATGAAGGTTTTTTTCAAACTTAATTCAAAACATAAGATAGGGAGGTTACAAAGTCTTGTGACAAAGAAATATATAAGTGATATTAGAAATCATCTAACATTTATATTGTGCCTTTAGTCCCTCCAGTGTAGGTAGAATTTAGCTCTCCATGGGGCTGACAAATATAAATAACCCAGGAGCTCGCCCATCTTTTTTTAGTGAAAGATGAAAATGTGCAGTTCCAAATTTATCTTCTTGGGAGATATGTAATCCTAGGTATTTAAAAAAAGCTGCTCTTTCAGGAGAATTCTGTTTATTTTCAGGCGGAGCATAAATTAAGATTATTAGTATTTTCCTTTTTTTTTTCTTGCATCCACTAGAAATACAAGATTGTATTTTCAGATGTACTTAGGATTTTTAAATGAGTGAGGTACATACCATTCACATGCTCAAAACCTACCAGAATGTGCCTCTCAGTTAGTTTCCAAGGATACAATTGAGATAGAATAACATTTTAAAAATGAAAGAAATAAGGTTTTGTTTCTGATATTCCTGGAAATATCTCCTCCCATAGAAACTGAAAAAATGTGCTGAATGCAGTTTGACCTGATTCTTACTTAAAACCAGGTCTTGACTGAATGGGGGAGGGAAGGAGAGCCCCACATCCTCCCAGCTGCAACTGAAGTTCTAGTTCCTCACACAAAAGGGAGAAAAAAATCACCTTCTCCAAAACTCCCACCATTCTGTATTCTCTCTGCTTGTAAGATGATTTTCTTCAAGGGTGATCATAATATTTCCTTAACTAAGTAGCAAGAACCGGAGAGTTTTAAGTTCTACCCACAGAGTTCTTCTATCTTCTGTGAAATGCCATCTGAGGAGCTGTCCTTTCAGCACTGTGGCTCAGAATCACCTCTTTTAAAACCTCATACACTTAAATAAATATTTAACACCTCCTTTGTGTTCACAACTATGCTTCAGACCAGAGGAAAGAAGGAAGGGTACAGGAGAAAATACCAGTTAGTTCTCTTAAGGAGAATTCAGATACTTAGTTGAGGAAATAAGATGTATAAATGCAAATTGGTTAACTAGGCCTTTCATCAGTGTAAAGTTGGTAGGAAAAAAATGAATGCTCCTTCGGTCCTGACTGAAGAGACTGCTAACATAACTTAAATATTTCTCTAAGTGGGTTTCTAATCTCTCTTTAACGTAGGCATATTTTTCTTATTCATGTAGATGAGCTAAGGCAAGAATTAGTAATCAGTTGAGATTCATT